ACCCGCTAAAAGTGAGGCGGTGGGATCCAAGGCAGACCCCTGAGACTCACGCAACTCGGAATCGACCTGAGTCATCCGTGCCTACCAAAATTAATATAAAGAAGTTAATTATAATATAATGATATCTACACTGTGATATTATATTAATATTTAATTTATTACTTACCGCTATCTCCTCAACCTCATCCGACGCACGCCCGTCTCGGGGTCTATACACCATCGGCCACATCTCGCCATAAGTGGGCGTGTATCCCCGCTCCTGCTGCGTCTTTTCTATCTGTAAATGAAATCAAAGAAATAATTAGTTACAAATTAAATACATCTACATATTTAATAAATTTATTTCAAGTACTCACAATCTCGTCATAAGTGATCGCAAAGCTCCTGGATCCAGCCCTATGACGTATCGTCTGATGCCTGACGCTCCTAGCATTTCTCCTAGAAAGAGCCTGAAGCAAAATGTAAAAAAATTAAATTAAATGAGTCAAGTCGGATAAAAAATAAAGAAATTATAATTAATACAATATTATCATACCATCTGGTCAGCCGTCATCCTAAAATAGACGTAAGTGGACCAGTCTTGGTCCGGGACTCCACCAGGTACATCTGCCAGTATCTCCTGGAGGGGCCTCGTCCCGTCACCTTTCTTCTCCCTCCACAGGTCGGCCCTCCTGTTCTTCCATGCCATCCCCAGCCTCTTGATCGTGTCAGCCCTCAACTCCTCCCCCAGAATAAATTTACTCTATGATTAAAATAATAAATTAACTAAATAACAAATTATAAACAAATAATTAAGCAATTTCAATAATTAAAAACAAATAATTAGTTTTTAACTAATTTAACAATATTATAAATAAAATATAAATTAATCAAAGTTTAATAATAATTAAACAATTAAGTAATTTAAATAAAAAAATATTTTTACTCAACTAAATTTAAAATTATTATAAGTAATAAATTAATGAAATCAATAACAAATTATTTTCATTTAACTACTTTTAAATAATTTAAATTAAAAATATATATTCATTTAACTACTTTTAAAAATATTATAAATAACAAACAAATTAAATAAATAAAAAATTATAATCAAACAATTAAATTATTTGAAAACAAAATATATAATCATTTATTTAAATTAAAAAAAATTATAAATAACAATTTTATATTACCTTCATTATTTCCCAGCCTTGCTGCTTCTTGTCTGAGGTGATCTTCTTCCAGTCCTGCACGTAGATGGGGAACAGCGTCCACTGCTGACCAAGGAGGCGCACGTACTTGTTGTACAACTGGCCACCTTTCTTCGTCGGTTGGCCCAACTCATTGAGCGGCACAACCACTCGTCCGCCCGTCATCATAGACAGCTCTCTGGCTGTCAGCCTCCGATAGGACCTGTTCCCCTCAGTGTCTACAAAATTTAATTAAGAAATAAATTATATATCAATAAATTAATATAATTTCTATATAAATTAAATACTGATCAAAACTTTAAAAAGTTAAAATAAATACTTACCGACAAATTCCACCTCATAACCAGCCTGACGTCTCGGAGCAGGACGCTGTGCAGCCTGGGGATACTCATTCCCCTGATCCTGCTCCTCCTCCTCCTCCTCCTCGTCAGCAGCATCAGCATGGGGTTGCTCATCCCCAGTAAAATGAGCCTCCTCAGTCCGCTCAATACCATCATGCTCCATAAAACTGAGGATATCCTCCTCGCTCAGATCGTAGTCATGAATGCTGGGAAATGGCTCATCAGCATCATGATGAACCTCACTGGGTCCAGCTCTCTCAGGATCAATTGGGTCTTTCCCATGTCGACGAGGCATCCTAATAACAACAAATAGTAATTATTTATAAATGAAATAAAAAAAATTAATTTATAAGCTATAACATAATAAAATTAATAAAATAAAACATAAAATAAAAATTATTTATCAATAAATTACTATTTTTACCTGAAAATAAGGATCTGCAACTGAATCAGAACTCAAATATGTTTGTGAAGAAAATTCAGCAGAGCTTCGCTTCCAGAACGATTGAAGAAGTGAGAGTGTGGGGGGGGGTATATATAGACCGAGACTTTCTAGCGGTTAGGCACAAAACCGCTAGAAATTTCTAGCGGTTTTGTGCCTAACCGCTAGAAATTCCCAACGGTCATATGACCGTTGGGAATTTCTAGCGGTTCACGGCCGAACCGCTAGAGATGTCTAGCGGTTCGGCCGCGAACCGCTAGAAAGTCTGGCGGTTCGGGCCTGAACCGCCAGACTTTCTAGCGGTTCCCGGCCGAACCGCTAGAAATCTCTAGCGGTTCGGCCGTGAACCGCTAGAAATCTCTAGCGTTTAGGGACCGAACCGCTAGAAATTTCTAAAACTCCTCGGGGAATGAAAAAAATTTCTAGCGCTTCATGCATCAACCGCTAGAATTTTTCAGTGTCTAGCGGTTTATTAGCCTGAACCGCTAGAAAGTAAACGCTACAAATTTGGCGCCAAGTTCCCGCCAAAGCCCGGGGAGTTTTCTAGCTCTAATTTTCTAGCGGTTAGGGGTTAACCGCTAGAAATGTGCGTTTAATGGTCAAACCGTCTGTATTTTGCAGCGGTTTTTGTAGGAACCGCTAGAAATATCTGAAATTTCTAGCGGTTTTGTTTAACCGCTAGAAAGGTTCCGCTGCTACTTCTACAATCCCTTGTAGTGATAATGCTTGTATCAACAAAAAAAAACCACATAATGCAACGAAAAATAAGAATTATATTAATTATTACCATGATAAGACGTGCCCATAAGGCATTACAACGAGAATAAATCACCAACCACCCTTGAAAGGTGACACATTAGCTGATGAATACTTAATTAATCTGCATTCATCAAGTGAAGACCCAACTTTAATTTCTTAATTTTCAAAGACCCATAGGAATTAGCTATGAGCTAATATACTCTGTAAATTTTTAAATGTAAATGTTAAATAACTAATTTATAGAAATTAAAAAAACTACTGAAATTAATTATATGTAACAAATATATTTTAAATTTTCTAAAATATCTCTTTCATCATTTGTATTGTCTCATTGATAAATCCCCATTTAGCATGTATATGTGTGTACAATTAACAGGATATTATTTGAAAAAAATTATAAATTTGCATATGAGACAAATTAGTTTGAGATTTTATATTTAATATCAAAATAAATTTCTCAATTTACATTTAGTTTAGGATAAAAAGAGTAACAAATGTGACAACTCAACAAACATGATTTATTATTTTAAATACTCCAACTACTGCCATTTTGCCCTTCACGTTGATCGATTATGCCCAACTATAACTATATTCTTAATGAAATGACCTGAGATGTTGTGATATCACATCAATGTACGTAATATCTTAGGTGAGTCAATTCAAAATTGTGTATCAAACCTATTACCTTACTAAACATATGTCAATTACTTTAGTCAACACGTTCAATCCACGAAGAATACAAAGAGGCTTTAATTTTTAAAAAAATATACGGTGGAGCCACATGTAAGATGAAGACTTATCCTTTTTATATAGTCTCTCTCTCGTCTAGCAGCCCGGCGGCTACAAAGAAACAAGTCCCCGATATAAAGTTATTACCTTTTTTTTTTTGGTGAACTTTAATCAAGTATGCTGGTTAAAAAAAAAAAAGAACTTTAATCAAGTATATTAAAATTAAAATTAAAGATTGGGCCGTGAGAAGGCTCGATGATGGTGACATTTTCTTGTTTATGAATCCTTTATGATGATAGTTGTTTTTAATGACAAGAGTCAGTTATATAAATTAAACGAATATTATTATATTTTATTAATAATTAAATTTTTGGATAAATTAGTCGATTAAAAGGTTCTCTGCTTGATAACTTCATTGCTTATTATTTTCAATCTTCCTATACTCTTCTCTTACCAGCACCTTCAATTGTCTTTTTGTACATCTTAGAACCATTTTAAATAAATTTATACTACTATTCTATTTTTAAAAGGACCAAGTCAGTTCTTTCTTGTATAGGATCATTACATGCTTGATGAGTGCATACCATATAAATATATATATAATTTTTCTTTCTTATAAAACTAATGTGTTGATTGTTTGAATAAGACTTGGGAGTTTGAATGCATTCTATTATGCATGGAAATCCAAGAAACCTCTAAATTATTTTAAGCTCCACTTAGCTTGTTTTCATTTTTTTAAGCTGTGTAATTTACTAGAGTTAAATATATATCAAACATTAAAAAAAATAAAATAATTGAATCATTCGAATTCTGCAAAGCTGTAGAGAAAGCCTACTTACGAATTGACATTTGCGTCAGTGATCGCCTTTTCAGCAAAAGGCGAGAGGTCTCTAGTTGGCGGTTGTTAGTGTGAGACTACGTTTTATTACTCTTTCGATCGTTTTCATAGTTTCTCGTGATTAGATGGATATTTTTATAACGCAATATTTAAATACGTATATAACTGCTATTTATCTTTTTTACTACTCTTTGATCCCTAACATAGGATATAATTAGTGAGTAAATGTGTAAGATTTATTTCATATTTTTATCAAATTTTTAAATTAATTATATCGATGTTCTTTCAACAACAATCAAATAAGAGAAGGAATTAGATAAGATGCTTATGGTATTCTAAAAAAATATATTACTCCTCTGCTCCTATTTATAAGACAGAGAGAGAAGGTTTTTTAATCCTAAAAAAATGATATTAATGGTATTCAGAGCGCAAGTCCAAAACAATATAATCAAATTAGATATGAACTGATATAGTAGTAATAGCATATTTATTTAGATGACTTGAGAAAGTTTAAGTGTGCTTCTGAGAAAGGGGACATTTTCTGTAAAATTCTGAAAAATTAGTTATATCGCTATCCTAAAGTAATTTATGATGTTCTTTTCTCCGTTCGTGCTTTTGCAATGAAATATAAGTTTGGAATCATGAAATTGTATTTTCATTATTGTTTGGCTAATTCTGTGGCCTTTTAACGCAAATTTTAGATTTCCAAATACCTACTTGCTTGTTGGATGTTGCAACGAAGAAGTCACCAACAAATACAAGGGCAAAACTGTTATGACGGAGGCTGAACGTTATGAATCGCTTCGGCACTGCAAGTTAGATGCTTATGTCAACTCTTTCTTTCTTTCTTTCTTTCTTTTGGGTGAATAAGCAGCTCTTAGTGACTTACCATAATAATGAGAATTAACTTTGAGCAGGTGGGTGGATGAAGTAATTCCAGATGCGCCATGGGTTATGACACAAGAATTTATTGACAAGCACAAGATCGACTATGTGGCTCATGATGCTCTTCCGTAAGAAAATTCCCTGCCCGTATCTCTCTAGTTCTTACGTGTTTATTGGATTTGTAATGATCATAATATTTAACTCTGTATTTGCATTGGTGGAGTAATGGTTGAAGCTTTTGAATGCATAGTATAATCTTTTGCACTTGCCGATGAATTGTTCACATCTATGCTGATGCCAGTGGGGCTGGAAACGATGTTTATGAATATGTATGAGAAAATGTTCTGTCAGCCTTGGTTGTTTATTTTGATGAAAGTATATCTTTTCAGGTATAATTTATGTGAATCAATTTTTGTTTGCAGGTTAAATCCATTGGGAAATTCAAGGAAACAAAACGAACAGAAGGGACATCTACTTCAGACATTATAATGAGGATTGTCAAAGACTACAACAACTATGTTTTGCGTAACTTAGATCGGGGGTACTCGAGGAAGGACCTCGGTGTGAGCTATGTGAAGGTATGAACTGGCATATTTTTTTCAAATCCTTATTTTGTATAAATGAATTGATTGTACTTGTCTGGTAAAAGAATAATTGTTTTCATTTACATCATTCTCACATCTGTTGGAGGATTTTACTTGTTGTGCTTGCGTTCACATTGACAGGAAAAGCGATTAAGGGTGAATAGGAGGCTTAAGAACCTTCAAGAGAAGGTAAAGGAACAGCAAGAGAAAGTTGGTGAAAAGGTATATCAACTCAAGTCATTAACCCATAATGTCAGATTAACTAAGTTGAAATAATACTTTAAGGCTTGGCCATGTGATATTAATGAGATGGCAAGATTGTGAGATGAGAAACAATAAGTGAAGAATCTTACGTGTGCATGTGATAAAGATTACTGAAAAACAGAGAACTCTGGTTTGTTACCTATAGTTGTCTTAGAAATTGAACGTTATAGGAATCTGTATTTGCTGCCATATATTTTGTCTTGTCGATTCAAAGTGTTGCGAAGACTGCTACTATGCATCGATATGAGTGGCTGGAAAATGCTGATCGCTGGGTTGCTGGATTTCTGGAGAGGTTTGAAGAAGGTTGCTACAAGATGGTATGTTAATTTATGCAGACAAATTAAAGTATGTTATGTTACGCTTGATATGCTTGCAGACTAAAAGGTAACTTCTCACTACTTTTTCTTTTTCTTATTTTCTGTTATGACTCGGGTCTGAAAAGGATATTAAAGCCAATAACAGGATAAAAGGAACAATATATTCATTGCATTTGAAGAGGTTATTACAGTGCTCTATATATAGAGGTGTGACACGAGATATACAATTGAGAAAACACTGTCCACGTAGCCCTAATACAATATTCTAGAATAATGAACTAATGGGCCAAATATTTGGGCTGAGTGTTGTGTTGATTGGGCTGATCTTTTACTCTGACAGCCTCCCGCAAGCTGAACGGGAGTGAGCAAACTGTGAGGCTTGACCTGAGATGTTCAAAACGGGAACCATCTAAAGGTTTGGTAAAGATGTCAACTATTTGATCCTTGGATGAGAGGAAGGTGATATTCAAGGCCTTGGCAGCTACTCTTTCTTGAACAAAATGGTAGTCTAATTTTATGTGTTTGGTTCTAGCATGCATAATGAGATTTGCTGCCAGGTATGTTGCTCCAATGTTATCACAGCACAAAGTGGCAGCGCTATAGAGTGGAATACCCAATTCTTTTAAAAGAGTTTGAAGCCATATTAGATCACAGGTGGCCAAGGCTAAGGATTTATATTCTGCTTCAGTGGAGGAGCGAGCCACGCTTTGTTGTTTCTTAGAACTCCAAGAAATGAGATTAGATCCAAAGAAAATGCAGAAACCTCCAGTGGATCGTCTATCATCAGGGCATCCTGCCCAATCAGCATCAGCAAAGGCAATAAGAGAGGAAGCAGAAGGATTTTGAATGAAAATACCATGATCAATGGTATGACGCAGATACCGAAGTATGCGTTTGATTGCCTTCCAGTGGCTGTCTCTGGGTGTATGGAGAAATTGACACACTTTGTTTACAGCAAAGGACACATCCGGTCGTGTGAAAGATAAATATTGAAGACTTCCTACAGTGCTTCTATATAATGATGAGTCATTGAAAGAGGACCCATCCAAAGCAAAGAGTTTGGTGGAGGCAGCCATGGGGGTTCGAACAGGCTTACAATGTAACATATTTGTTTTCTTCAACAAATCAGTGATATATTTTCTTTGAGACAAGAAAAGACCAGAGGATGTAGATTGAGCCTCTATGCCAAGAAAATAATGCAAAGGTCCGAGATCCTTAACAGGAAAATGGTTTCCCAAGGTGGCAATTAAGTTGTGAATATCAGCAGAATGAGACCCAATGATCAGGATATCATCAACATAAACCAGCATATACAGAACAGAAGAGCCACAAATTTGGGAAAACAAAGAAGAATCAGATTTTGAGGGAATAAAACCAAGTTGGGTAAGAACCATACTCAGTTTCGAGAACCATGCCCTCGGAGCTTGTTTCAAACCATAAATCGACTTGTGTAACTTGCAGACATACTGTGGAAACAGTGGGTGTTTGAAACCTGGTGGTTGACTCATGTAAACTTCTTCATCCAGAAGGCCATGGAGAAATGCATTATGAACGTCAATCTGGTGCATTGACCATCCTTTAGACACGGCGAGGGAGAGAAGGAGACGGATGATGGTGGGCTTGATGATCGGAGAGAACGTATCAGTATAATCGATACCTGGAGATTGGTGGGAGCCCAGTCACGCCTTGCACTTCTCAAGTGTGCCGTTCGGGCGAAACTTCTAGCGAAAAACCCATTTGCAACCAACAACATTTTTGTGGGAGGGAGGTGGAACCAAAGACCAAGTGTGAGTGGAGAGAAGAGCATTGAGTTCAGATTCCATAGCAGAACACCATTCGAGCTGGCACAGACCGGAGAGGACCGAGGTGGGGGTATCTGACACAGCAAAGATGTTGGGATTCGAGCGCAGAGAAGTGTGGCGAGATCTAGGAGGAGGCCAAGGAATCGTACCATCTTGAAATTGTTTAGGGAGAAGGGAGCAAGTTTGAGCACGGGTAGTCATGGGGTGTGGCCGTGCAGCAGTGGATGGCGGTTTAGAAAAAGAGAGAGACGGAGAAGTAGCAGGGGAGGGGGAAGGAGATAAGGTCAAACCGGGTGGGGAAAAGGGAGTTGGTGAACGAAGTGGGCTGGAGTGGGTAGGTTGAAAGGAAGGCCCAAAAATGTGAGGCCCAGAAACGGTAACATTGTGCTGAATGGAATTGGGTAGGAAGGGGACGGTAGAAAAAGGATTGAAAGGGGAGGAGACAGGATGGGCCGAAGAGAAGTGAGTTTGTGCTGGAAATTGGGCCTCATCAAATAGGACATCTCTAGAGATATATATTTGACGGGTTTTGGGATCAAAACATAAATACCCATGGTGATCAGTAGCATACCCGAGAAAAATACAAAGAGTGGAACGTGGTTCAAGCTTGTTCTTGGTATAGGGTCGAAGATTGGGCCAGCGTGCACAACCAAAAACTTTGAAAAATTTGTAATCTGGATTGTGATTAAAAAGGAGGTGATAAGGAGATTTAAAATTGAGAGAAGCAAACGGTAGACTATTAATTAAATAAACGGCGGTGGCAAAGGCATGAGCCCAGAAACGTGGAGGTAAAGATGCATGATGGAGCAGAGCAAAGCCTTTTATCCTGTTATTAGCATGATCAAAACGGTGAGGGCAATTGTGTATAGTATGGCCTTGTCGTCTACACAGCTGGCACTGGTTGTCAGAAAGTGTACTGGAGGTGGAAAAAGCGGGAGAGAAGGCAGAAAACCATCCTCTGCCACGTCCAAATCTGCCCCATCCACGAGTTGAAAAACATCCACTACGACCTCTGCCATGATGAACATTTCGAAAAAAGTGAGGCACATAGGGGGGTTGTCTAGAAACTGCATTGGCAGAGAAATCAATTTGTAGTGTTGAGTGGAGGTTGTGCAAGCGTGCTTCATGAATGAGGAGATAACTTAGGACATCTTCAGGTGACAACTCATTAGCTTTGGTGGTAAGGGAAGCAACAATATACTCAAAATTAGTGCCGAGACCATTTAGAAGATATGCAACAAAGTCCATGTCATCAACTGGACGTCCAGCAGTGCTGAGGGCTTCGGAAAGCATGATTGCCTGCTTGTAGTAGTCTGAGATTGATTCAGAGCCTTTTTTAAGTGTGGTGAGTTGATTATGGAGATGAAGAAAGCGAGCTTGAGATTTTTGAGTGAATGTGCATTCAAGGGCTAGCCACATAGAACGTGAGGTTTTGTTTTTAATAACTTGGCCTATCAGTGGTTCAGATAGAGAGGAGATGAGAACAGAAAGAATATATTGATCTTTCTGAAACCAAGAAGTGTATTCAGGATTGATAGTGCCATCATCAAGTCTCATGGACGGTGGAATAGTGGTGCCATCAATGTGGGAATAGAGCTGCTGGCCATGAAGATAGGGAACCATCCAGATGGTGTAATTCTCATTGGTAAGTTTAATGGAAATAAAGTGAGAGGGAGAGGATGCCGAGGCAGAGTAAGAGGGAAGAGTGGAGGAAGGAGAAGTTTGAGAAGAAGGAGAAGTAGAAGAGGTGCTGGACGAGATAGTAGACATTTTGTGTTAAAAAAAATTGTAGCAATGGAGAGACGGTGGCTCTGGTACCATGAAAAGGATATTAAAGCCAATAACAGGATAAAAAGAACAGTTTAATCATTGCATTTGAAGAGGTTATTACAGTGCTCTATATATAGAGGTGTGACATGAGATATACAATTGAGAAAACACTGTACACGTAGCCCTAATATAATATTCTAGAATACTGAACTAATGGGCCAAATATTTGGGCTGAGTGTTTGTTGATTGGGCTGATCTTTTACTTTAACAGGTCCATGCCAGGGCACAGCAATCAGGATCAAATTCAAGAGAGGTTAAGCGGTCAGCAACCACGAGAGTGTTCACTTCTGCAACAAAAGGGGAAAAGTGATCATGAGGAGGGTGAAGAGTGTTATTATGATGACTATGGAGAGGAGTTTTGTTTTGCAAATGACGGTGAAGGGTATTATTATGAAGGTGGGGATGACAGTGATGAAGAAGAATATTTTGTTGAGAGTTGCTATACCAGCGATGAAGAATATTTTGTTGAAAGTTGCGATGAAGAGCGCCTTAAAAACGTGAAAGATGAAAAAGAAAAGTAGGTCTGTTTACCGTGATGGAACCTATCCTTAGCGAAATGTGTATTAGTGGATGATGGTGCCACCTATTTCATTGGAGTAATCTATCTTTATTATCATTCTATCTACAAAAAGCTAAAGCACAAAAATTGTTAGTGGTTTATATTTTTGTGCATTGAACTCATGGTTGCGACTTGTGTGTACTCTCTTGTTTATTGACTTGTTAAAACTGGAGAAAATACCACGAGTTTTTGTCACAGATCGCCTGGTGTGCCCATCAATATTCCAAGGATCTGGATTTCTCTTGACTAATGTTTAATTTTAAAGCAACTGTAAATCTGTAATGTTTGGGTTTAGTATAATTTTGTTGGATTGAAGTTTGAAGCAAGAAAATATAAAATAACAGTAATGACATATCAAACTTATCCTTCTCGATCGAGTATGGTTAAGTTGATTTAGCTTGCATGTGCTCAAATTTTTAGATTGTGAAGTTTGTAATTGAGACTTTTGACGAGGACGTATTTAAATTCGTGTCACCGATAGTGAAGAAATTAGAAACGTGTGTTGTTATCGAGGTTACCATCAGTATTACCTACAGGCTACAGGTATAACTCATTCTCTAAAGCTTTTTGGAGTTGTTATACAGGGGAAGTAACACACACACACACACACACACACACACGAAATTCACTTGTCATATCGAGGAAAGAAATTATAAAACATGATGTTAAATTTTGAAAGCATGAGCTATGGTATCAATCCGTAAGTAATTGAGGGTCGTTTTTCCAAAAAGGTATGCAATTTCAATAAGCCCTTTTATTTTCTCTGTTTTGATCCTGTTCTGGTCAAGTCATTGAGTCCTCTGTTTTTATTTTTGTGTTCTGCAGAATCGATGACACCCTAATCAATCAAATATCTTCTATGGTTTATATTTCGTCATCGTACAGATCTGGAAGCGGAGGCTTGGTGGGTCCCTGGATCAAACGTTGCTGCTTTATTGCACTCATCTTTTTATGATCATCTTCAGTCAATGACCACTCAAAGATTTGCAGGTTTTGGTTCATCCTGTCCTTGTTGTAGCTCTTTGGCACGAAGGTCACGCCTTGCTCGTAGAGCCATCTCAGACAAACCTGAGCGCTTGACTTGTCCCTCGCTTCTGCTATCTCCTTCACCACATCACTCTCCATGGCCTCGTTGGGTCCCCTGCTCGCTCCTTTCCTCAGCGGCGAGAACGCTGTGATCACTATCCCTTTTGATTTGCAGAAGTCCAGCAGCTTCTTCTGCTGCCATGCCAGGTTCATCTCCACCTGATTCACCGCCGGCGGAATGGTGGCGAATGAGAGCAGATCGTCGAGCTTCTTGACGGAGAAGTTGCTGACTCCGATGGCTCTGGCGAGGCCCAGCCTCTGGCATTCTTCCATGGCCGCCCACACTCCCTTCAAGTCCAAAGGAACCACATCTTCCGCCTCTATAGGGAACGAGAACTTGCCTGGCTTAGCAGAGATGGGCCAGTGAATCAGATACAGGTCCAAGTACTCCAGCTGAAGACTCCTGCACCACAACATATAGACAGACGATTAAACTAAGTCGTCCATTATTATTAGTGACCCTGAAGCATATATGTCAAAGAAAGAAGTGAGACCTGAGAGAGTTCTGGAGAGCAGGAAGAACGAGGTGAGGATGATTGTTGGTGCACCAGAGCTTGGAGGTGACGAAGAGGTGTTGTCTGGAGGGGACGAGGCCGAGCTGAAGAGCCTCCTTAATGCCTTCTCCGAGGGCAGTCTCAGAGCCATAGGCGGCGGCGGTGTCAAAGTGCCTGTAGCCCTGCCTTATGGCTTCGACAATGGCTTCCTTCGTGTCGGCCTTGCAGGTGAAGTCTGGCGCAGACCCCATCCCGATCACCGGCATCTTCACTTCGCCGGTGGAAGAACCTAGCACCACCGAAGGAATCTCACACACTGCCATGTTTAGCTGCTAAGAACCTTAAAGCTCGCAAAGATATGTAGCAGAAATATGTATGAATGTAAGGGATAGTTAGCAGGGTGATTTATGGATTTGGTGAGAGTGAATGGGAAAGTTTAGAGGAACTTGTCCTTCTTATAGGTGAGCCTTTTGGGATGGTGGCGACATGGCGTGCGGTGGGATACTGTTCATGTTTGAAAAGTTTGCTATTTTTCTGTGTTTCCTGTGCAATTGTAAGTTGGTGGCCATTGATATTATACTACTATTTAGCAACCCTTTCTTGACTGGTGGGCGCACACTTTAGATTACTCAATAATAAATAATGGATTACTTCAAGTTTTCCACTAAGAGCAGCATGCACCTAATTTCTTCCGTTCCCCTGATCTCTGCTGCATGTTTCTCACATAATTTTTTTTTAATGATTGGTCTTTTCATTTCAATTTTTGTAAGTATATCTAGAACTAGTATTTCGTGGCATCCCATGCCTTTTACATACATACATATATATATATATATTCAATTTATATGGTCATAACAATGATATTATCATGTTTCTTCAAGGCATATGTAGCCTATACGAAAAACTAAACCAGACATATTTATATACATATATATATATATCTCTTTGGAATGTATTAGAATGAAATTTTATATTATGGAATTCTTCAAAAATTAACCACTTATAATAAAAATTATTCGAAGTTGAAGCCGGGGTCACATGCCTAAGCATATTATTTTTAATCTAAATAAAGTATATCTTATTGATTTATATAAATGATCTGTAAATAAAAATATGATTGAAAAAAGAATTAGATGAGTACATTCAGGAACAATTATTTCTCTCGTCACCCTTCCAGTGATTAAATAAAGGGAAAATTTCAAAAATAAATCATTTGAATTTTAAAATCTCAAATCAGTTTTCTTTCCTATTTTTAATAACAAGTTGCTACACTTGAAAAAGTAAATAAACATATTTTTGTAGAAATTCTTGGTTTGTGATTTTGAAATTCAAGTGGTATTTTTCTGATTTTTTTTCTTAAATGAAGTAGAATATAGCTTTTTTTTTTAAAAAAAACAATTGCATGCATTATATTCTACGTGATTTTTTTATTTTTGATAAATAAAATTTACTGTGTATTTATATGATCATCACACAAGTATAAAATAGAATTGTCTGTTAGATATTAAAAAAATTTCGAAGGAAAAAAATTATTTATCTTGTACGTTTCAAATTTCAATGTCTCTTCCTCTATAAAAAGTTCATCCACCTTCCAATTTATTAGGTCCATCATAATATCTCCGCCGCCGTCTGAATTTGGATTTTGCATTTAACAACCGCAGAATGAAATGAAAAATGAGAATTATATTAATTATTAGCATGATAACACGTGCCAAAAAGGCATTACAATGACAACAAATCACCAATCATCCTTGAAAGGGACACATTAGTTGATGAATACTTAATTAATCTCCATGCATGAAGTGAAGACCCAACTTTAATTTCTTAATTTTCAAAGACCCATAGGAATCAGCTATGAGCTAATGTACTCAGTAAATTTTTAAATATAAAAGTTAAATAACTAATTTATAGAAATTAAAAAATTAGTTAAATTAATTATATGTAACAAATACATGTTAAATTTTCTAAAATATCTCTTTAATCATTTACATTGACTCATTGATAAAAACCCATTTAGCATATATATGAGCGTACAATTAAAAGGATATTATTTGGAAAAAAAAATTATAAATTTGCATATGAGACAAATTAGTTTGAGATCTTACGTTTAATATCAAAATAAATTTCTCAATTTACATTTAGTTTAGTACAAAGAGAGTAACAAATGTAACAACTCAACAAACATGATTTATTATTTTTAAATACTCCAACAGAACTATGTTCTTAATGAAATGACCAAAGATGTTATGATATAATATCATTGTACTTAATATCTTAGGTGACTAAATTGAAAATTGTGTACCGAACCAATTACTTTACCAAACATATCTTAATTACTAAAGAATAGAAAGAGGCTTTAATTTTTTAAAAAAATTTATGGTGGAGCCACATGTAAGAGAAAGACTTGTCCTTCTTATATAGTCTCCGGCAGCTATAAAGAAACAAGACTATGATATAAACTATAAAGTTATTACCTTTTTTTTTTCTTGGAAACTTTTTTTTTTTGGTATAAACCATCTGGTATCCAACTGTGCCTTTTCTGGGCCCAGCCTCTTTGGCCAGTTGTACCCGAGCGATCGACTAGTCCGGATTCGGGCCGAGCGACAAATAAAGCCCTCCCCGGTACCCTTTTTAACAAGTGAGGATTCGAAACCCCGCCTTCAAAGAGCAGAGACTCGCCTCACTTGTGGCCTAGCCAGCCACCACTAGGCCAGGAGTATTAATCATGTATATTAAAGTATATTAAAGTTAGAATTAAAGATTGGGCTGTGGGAAGGCTCCATGATGGTGACATTTTCTTGTTTATGAATCCTGTATGATGAGAAGTGTTTTTAATGACAAGAATCGGTTATATAAATTACACGAATATTATAATATTTTATTAATAATTAAATTTTTGGATAAATTAATCAATTAAAAGGTTCTACTTATTACTACCTCCGGTTTTTAATATAAGATCTTGTTTAACTTTTATTTTGGTCTTAAATATAAAACCTAAAACCACTTTGTCTCTCATATATATGTATTTTTTTCAATGTAACCCTTCTAATAATCATAGTTATAGCCAATATATTTTATTAGCAAGGATATTTTAGGAAAGACAATACATATTTATTACAAATAACTAATTTAACTTCTTTTCTTGATCTCCTCAAATTAGTCAACAAGCTCTTATAATTAGGACCGGAGGTAATATTTTCAGTCTTCCTATACTCTTCTCTACCAGCACCTTCAATGGTATTTTTATCCATCTTAGAACCATTTTAAATAAATTTATACTATCCCATTTTTAAAAGGCACTACGTCAATTCTTTCTTGTATAGGATCATCATATGCTTGATGAGTGCATACTATATAAATATACATACATATATATATAATTTTTCTTTCTTATAAAACTAATGTGCTGATCATTTGAATAAGACTTAGGAGTTTGAATGCATTCTATTATGCATGGAAATCCAACAAACCTCTAAATTATTTTAAGCTCCACTTAGCTCGTTTTTATCTTTTAAGCTGTGTAATTAGTCAAGTTAAATATATCAAACATTAACCAATAAAATAATTGAATCATTCGAATTCTGGCAAAGCTATAGAGAAAGCCTACTCACGAATTGACATTAATTTGTGCCAGTGATCGACTTTGCAGCAAACAGCGAGGTCTCTAGTTTGTGGCTGTTAGTCTGAAACTGCTTGTTATTAGTCTTTCGATCACTTTTATATTTTCTCATGATTAGATGAACATTTTTATAATGCAATATTTAAATAAGTATATAACTATTATTTATCTTTTCTTTTTGGCCAAATATTACTATTCCTCCAGTCATTAATATAGGACCCAACTAGTAAGTTAATGTTGATCTGTAAGACCTTTCATATGCTTATCAATTTTTTTCTAAATTAATCTTATTAATATTTTCTCAACAATAATCAAGTAATTAAGAGAGAAAATTAAAAAAGACGCTTAGGATGTTTTAGAAAAAAAAATACTCCTCCGATCCTTAATATAAGATCCATTTAACTAATTTGATTAGATTAAAGAAGTTTGGTAAATTAGTTAATTATAAGAAATGTGACACGTTTTTCCTAAAATACCATAATCATTTTTCTTAATACCCCATCTTCCTCTTCTACTTGATTATGGTTGAGAGAGTATCCATAGGGGTAATTTAGAGAAAATTAATAAATATAAGAAATGGTTCTTATATTTAGGACCAAAACCAACTCAACAATTGGATCCTATATTAAGGGCCGGAGGAGTACTATATGAACTATTCAACTAACATCCTTAATCTGCTTAAATTAGTTAATATGTCTTATATTAAAGAATAAAGGAGTATTATTTATCAATGCCCCCACAATATTGACTTTCTTCATAACTTTTCTATTTATATGCAACAGGCCAAAATCCCGAATAAATTTAAAAAAAATTAAATTGTTTTAATTTTAAAGTTAAAACATTTCTTATATTGCTTTAACGAATATATGGAAGTCAATAAACATATTAAAAATGACTGGCCTAACAAGAAGCTGTTAGTTAAGATGATAAGTGGTCTCATTCTTGTAAGGAAGAGAACAAAAATTCAAATTCAAGAAAACGCACTTGTTAGGAGGGTTTAAACCTTAAAATTTTTAGCCTAATAAAGATTAGTCTTAAGCTGAAAAGTGACTTAAGCATACTTTGGATTATAAAAAAAAAAAAAAGCCTAATCAGAGAATTTTTAACACACGTGCACATACGCCCACCAAAAGAATGTTTTATTAAAGACAATAATTTTATGTTTTTTTTTTCATTTTTCATCCATCTAAAGGAATTCAATTGCTTATTGTACGCATTCAAGATTAGATTTGCAATCTCATGTTTAAATAGATAAGACCCCAATTTCATTAAATTGGAAGCATAGTAAAGTTATAAGAAAACTTAAACGTTATTTACAAGGTTATTACCAAAACATTGATGGGGCCTTTGTCCAAGTCGAAGAATCTCATAAACACGAAAGAAAGTAAAAATGAGTGCGATAAAAGTAGCTGATGAAAACTTTTAGTGAATCTTTTTGGCCAAAAACAAAGAAAACTCTCAGTTAATCATACTTTTTCTTAGTCTGTAAATGACTTGGTAAAACTTTGTTACATGTATAAATATAACAAAATATGGAATATTCAAACGATATAAAGATTTCATTTCGTTTATCTATAGAGCCATAAGTCAAACTTATCCCTAACTTCATCAGTCATTTATTTGAACTCGCCGGTTTCACACGTGAAAAGCAAAACACTTTCACTACCAACCCGCAAGTTTAATTAGTACTGATTTATATGATGACGTTAAAACTCAATTCGG